GCCCAGTTCTTTTTTAGGGGTTCCTGCCACAGCCTCTTGGTTGGCAGGTGCATGTTCACCCTTCACTCCACCTTGAGCTGAGTTAAGTCAGCCCCAATCAAGGTTACCGTGCACAGTGGTAGGGGCAGGGCTGGGAGTCTCTTGTGGGTCTTCTTCCTCATTCATTTTGGATGTTAAGTTGACTTCAGTCACTGAAGAGAGGAAGAAAAAAAATCATCACAAATTACAGGGATGGGGTGTCAGGGAGGACGGTGGATGATAAAAATGCCCGGAGTGATAAATGTCTTAACACAATAACTAAGAAAGTGCCGGGAAGGCTGTGTTAACCAGTTTGATGAAAATATTTCAAATTGTGTATTAAACCAGCACATAGTACCCCATGATTACTTTAATGTACACAACTATGATTTAATGATAATTTAAAAAAATGCCTGGAGTGGATGGACCCCCCCAGGCCCAAAAGCAGAGGGCTAAGATGTCCCAGCAGTAGGAAGCAGGTATTCTGGGCTCTAGGCCTTGCCTAGGCCCCTGGAAGTGCTCATAACCCTTCTTGAAAAGGGCTGTGTATGGGTCGGTGCAAGGGAAGGGCACAACAAATAAAAGATGAGACCCTGCGGTTGTAGGCAACATGGTGCAGATGCCCCAGGTGGGGGCTGGACAGGTGTTGGACGGGGCTGTCTCTCACCTACAGCATGGCTTCCTTCCTGGATTAGTCCAGGGAGAGGCATAGCAGGGTCAGAAGAGCTGGGTGCTTCCCTTTGCTGCAAGGATGCTTTAGGCTCCCTGCCTCTGGGCAAATGGGGTGGATGGCTGGGTGGAGGTGGTGGCAGCATCTGGAGGGAGCATCCTTGTGCTGAGCCAGTTGGGACTTCAAGCAGGATTGGTGTGGCTCTGCTGGATTTCCCATAGATAGCGCCAACTAGGGTTTGTGAAAGAACACACATCAGCACCTTGGAGACCCATAATTATTTGGGGGGTGGGAATTTCTTAATACATGCCTTCAATAGGACGGGGACATTGAGTTACTTATTCTTCCCCAGGGGCACAGAACCAATTCACTGTCATTGTCATCCATTTGTGGCCCCCTTTTAAAATCTGATTTATTTGATTTGGGCATTCAGTACTACAATAACTGCATCTAACCCCTGATCTAAGATTAAAGTGGTTTCACATATAAAGTCAATTTGAGTTTGTGCCCAAGGATAGAATTTAGTCAATTATGCATGTGCTACAATTTTAATAGAGGGCTCCATTTAAATAAATAAGCATATCATACCTCTGTGGGATAGATATGAAAATAAAAATGTATTAGGAGGGTGTGTCATGACCTTTATATTCCGGTTTCTGCTCATTTTTGCAGACCCAGTGCCCTGTGTCTCAGTCTATGATCTGGCCATACTGAACTTTCTCTCCACCTGCAATACTCCAGGTCCTGGGCTTTCTACATGCTGCCCCCTGGGTGGCTAGTACTAGGTTTCTTTTACAATTCTTTCCCATCATTTATTTTAGAAGTAAAGTTAACTCAGTAAACAGAAAAGGGAAAGTTAATTGGGAAAGTCAGATTTTGGAAAGGGATCCAGAAAAAAACACAGTTACAGATCCAGGAAGATGCTGAAGCTCAGCCAGGGGCCCACGAGCATGGGGGCCCGCGCTCTCTGATGTATTTTGAGTGTGTGCCTCTCCTGCCACTGCTCTGACGCTGTCAGGACAGTGCAGCTGCCCCTGTCTAGGGGTGGACTTTCCCCTCTGCTCAAGAAATCATCCCTCCGTTTGGGGAAGAGCTTCTTGATGGTGAAGTGTCAGAGATCAGGTGAAGAGCTGTCATCAACGACGATTCTACTAATGAAAATGTCACAATCCAGTAGGAACTGGTGGTTTTTCCCTTGCTGTTCTCAGATAAGTGAATGTATGCTTTGGTCAAAGTGTTTTTTCTCCAACCCATCTGCCTGCCTCTTACCTTGGCCTCTTTCATCCCAGCTCTGTCAATGCTCCTTTTTCTTTTCTTTTTTTTGAGACAGAGCCTCAAGCTGTAGCCCTAGGTAGAGTGCTGTGGCATCAGCACAGCTCACGGCAATCTCCAACTCCTGGGCTTAAGTGATTCTCTTGCCTCAGCCTCCCAAGTATCTGGCACTACAGGTGCCCACCACAACACCTGGCTATTTTTTGGTTGTAGTTGTCATTCTTGTTTGGCAGGCCTGGGCTGGATTCCAACCCGCCAGCTCTGGTGTATGTGGCTCATGGCTTAGCTGCTTGAGCTACAGGCGCCAAGCCAATGCTCCTTTTTCTACTCCTTTATTTATTCAACCACTTCTTTCTGTGTGGACTTCCTGCTCCATTCTTCCTCAGATCCTCTCTTTCTGTACCCACGACTATATCCACATGTCTATATCCATGACTCCCTCCCTCATCAGCTTTCTTTCTTCCCTCCTCCAGCTTTACAACCTGCCTCCCAGCTGTCCTGGTGCAGACTAGTAGTTAAAATCTTGAACTTGGGTGTGGAGAGACCCAAGCTGGACTCTTGCCTCTGCCTCTTAACAGATAAGTAACTGGACAATTTACTGCTGAGCTTTAATTTCTTCGTCAGTCAAGTGGGGATAATAATACTCGCAGTGCTATTTTAAAGATGAGATGAAATAATCAAATGAAGTATAGTAGAACCTCTGTAAATTGACCACCCAAGGGATTGTAATATGCTGGTCAACATGTGGAGGCAGTCAACATAAGGCACTAGGCCTACTGGACTGATATGTACATGTGGTGCATGTCTGGTCTACGAAAATTAGGTCGATTTAAGGAGGTGGTCAATGCAGGGTGCTGGTCAACTCTGGAGGTTCTACCGTGTTTGGGACAATGCACTGAAAAAAGATACTTCTGATTATTCATTTCTCTTCCTCTAGGGTCCTCCTTGTCCTTCTACCAGATCTTGTCTCTATAACTTTGCATTTCTGTCACTTACGCCTTCCCTAGATATCGTCCAGTTTGCTAAATCGTAGGATTTTCTCCAGATTTGTAGAATGCACAGACAGAAACGTTTGTGTCCTCCAGAAACTTACCATAGAGAGCTGGCATCAGTTAGCAAAGGCACCTGTGAGGAAGTCTGGCCCACGCCTTCCCAGAGAGGAAAGCAGGAGACAGGCATGCATAAGTCACAGGACTGGGGAAAGAGCCAGACTTTTGTCATAGCAACTTCTCAAATGCAACAAGTATTTACCATCTTTGAAGCTTTGTAAAATCATCTCTAGATTGGGGTATTCGTGCAGGTTTATCTGGCTGAACAGTGTCATCAGCAGAGACACGCTGAAAGTCTTCTCCAGTTTGGTGAGAATATTGTGAACCACTCTGGATACAGGGACCAAATTACTACAGGCTTCCAGAGATTCCTGTAAAAAATGGAGTGAAAGATTATTATAAATGATTACACACTGAATGGAGAGTTATTATACATTTGTGGTTTTCTAAGTTGTAAGAAAGCTACTTTAATTCTTTAAGAAGAAATTGAATATAATAAAATGTATAAAATTCTCTAAGGCAGAGAGGTCACAGTTTCACATGTTTAGGTTTGAAATTTCCAATGTGTTTGGATGACTAAGGAATAAATAATTTATCCTTCTTTATTTTATTTTTATTTATTTATATATGTTTTTTGAGACAGTTTCACTATGTCACCCTCTGTAGAGTACTATGACGTCACAGCTCACAGCAACCTCAAAATCTTGGGCATAAGCAATTCTCTTGCCTCAGCCTCCCAGGTAGCTGGGATTTCAGACGCCCACCACAAAACCTGGCTGTTTTTTTGTGTAGTTGTCATTGTTGTTTAGCAGGCTGGGTTCGAACCGCCAGGCCCAGTATATGTGGCCGGCGCCCTAAACACTGAGCTACAGGCACCAAGACAATGGTGGTTCACAATAATCTCTTTAACCTACTTTAAAATAAGTCTGTTTGTGGATATTACTTTTAGGTACATTAGAGGGAAGGAAGAAACTTTCAGACAGGGAAGTGGAGTCGAATATACTACTATCTGATCGTCTCTGTATTATTATCTGGAACAGGTTAGAGTGGTGTGTCCAGAAGCCGAGCAGCACCAGATTTGCCAGCAGTCACAAGAAGCCAGGAGACAGGCAGGGAGCCGATCATTCTCAGACCCTCTAGAAGGAACCAACACTGCCAGCAACCAGGATTTTGGACTGCTGGCATTTAAAACTGTGAGAGAATCGATTTCTGTTGCTTTAAGCTACCTGGTTGATAGCCATTTGTTACGGCAGCCCCAGTGACACCTAGGAAGTAACGTAGCCCCTCCCCTTTCTCCCAGCCATTTCTACTTTCTGTGATAATAAACAGACAGGTGCTGGGCCTTCCAAACTCTAGAAGCCCAGGTGGTTTGTGGTTTGAGACCTCAATAGTCAAGCACATTTGGTGGAGGTTAGACTACCAAGGAAGGGGTCAACAGGACTCACATTGTACATTCTGTTGGTGATGAAGGATTTGTCTCGGAGGCTTTCGAAGAAGGGAAAAGGCTTGCATATGGCATAGGCGATCTCCACTTTCTTGTAGATGAAGTGCTGAAGAAGAGCCTCTTCCAAGGCCCTGGTCACAGTGATCATCCTGTGGGAAGAGGCATGATAAGGACCCTGAGGAGAGTGGGGAGCTGCTGTCTGCACTAACAGGCGACCAAAGACAGGCATTCTGGGCATCCCTTTGCAGTCCAAAGGGATGGCTCACAGAGGTAGGAAACAATGACAATTCTTAGCAACACAGAGGCTGGGAGTATGTGACAAGACACTGCCAAAATCCAAAGGGGCTTCAGGTGAATGTAAGGCAGATATGTAAAATGCTAATATCCTCCAGATCTGGAGTTAGTTAACCTCCAGAAAACCCTTGTGCGGTGGTGAGTTACTACGACTGCATCCAATTATACTGTTGAGGATGCTCAGAGGTAGAGAGTTGTGCCCCAGGTTGCCCAACTTGAGAGTGGTAGAGTTGGTAATAAACTCCAAATTCTTCAGTGCAGACTCGTAACCTTAAGCTTGTGCTCTACGGCCACACTGGGCTGAGTTAAACAAGATGATGTGGGCTGCAGCTTAAGTCATTAACTAGCAATGCTCAGGAGAAAGGGACCACCTAAAACTGGGTAGAAGGGAACCTGATTATATTTAGAAACTTTAACCATTCACTCACAACCTTCAACACAAATGAGCCAAAGTTAAGTAAAAGCATAAGGGATGTGAAAGGCATGCGTAGTGAAGGCGACTTAACTGACTTGTTTGATGTATTCATTTCCTATCTCAGAATGGATGTTTACCTTATCTCATGCTCAGGCAACATTTGCAAAATGGACTGTTCATGGATCATGAGAAAATATCAATTGGTTATAATAGGCAGAAAATTTACAGATAACACCCTTGACAAATTGTCAGGAAAAGAAAAGCACTAGCAAAAAATTTAATCACCCAGAATTTTTAAACAGTAAAGCAAACATGGATCCCATTTTTTCAAGTTCATTTTGTGTTAAACAGAACATTAAACTAATTAACTATTTCCAGGGATTTAATCCCAGTGGCAGATTGAGCACTCATTCCCTAATCTTTTAAGAAAAACAAAATCATGAAAAGAATAATCCACAACAGTACTAGAAAACAACAACAACAACAAAAGATGCACAGAGAGTCTACAATGGTGAAGAAATCCTGTAAGATAGAGAAGAGACGGGAGAAAAATCCATTATCTACAATATACACAGTGGAAGGATATAGTGCGAAGGTAGTGTAGAATTGAATGCTAAAATGAACATTTACTGAAAAGAGGATGGGGCCCAAGAGCTCCAATTAGAAGGATTTAATACCCAACAGAATTCAGAACAGGAAGTGGCTGGCTTCCTCTTTCTTTATCTGTTATGATTCTCAAAGAGGAAAGTGAAGCACAGAGAGGTTAGGTAACTAGCCAAAGGATTCAGCAGGCACACGGAACGTGTCTGGTTCTGTGAAGTCCTGTTTCCAATCATGCAAGATACCGTGTCTCATACATGACAGTGTTCAGATTTTTATTATGTAAAGGGATCTCGTAAATGAATAAGCAAAAGACAAACATTCAAGTAGGAAAAAGTGCAAAAGACATGAACAGGCAATTAATAAAAGAACAGGCCAAATGCTCAATGAAAAACATGTTAACTGGCCAGTAGTCAGAACGTGTAAATAAAAGCAATCTGATAACATTTTGCCTATCAAACTGGCCGTCATAAAAATAGTAGCAACAATTCCAGACAATGCTAGTGGAAATGTAAACAGGTCCAAACATTCGGGAGGCTAATTTAGTCGTCAGCATCAAATGCCCTACGTAAAATATGTATTCCTTTCAATTCCCACTACCAGCAATTTATTTTGAGGAAATAAGCATGAAGGTGCTTAGTTAGAGGAAATAGCTTAAAAGTTCATGACAGAGTAGAGAGGAAATTATTATTTCTTCTTTTCCACCAGCTTCCCAGCTACCTCTAGTTATTTGTAGAATGGATAATGAATGAGTTGCCAGTTGTGGGCAGAGTTCAGGATCAGAATTTAGGAGAGGGTAGAGGGCAAATCTCAGTTCTATCTACAATAATTTCCAGATTGTTCTTTTTTAAACAATCAAAGGAGGCAAGAAATGTTCCATCTTTCTCTGTAGCACCCCTTTTACTGAAAGGATCTGTTCTATAAAATTTGGATTCAGTCAAAAGGCCTAGAAAGCCACACGTGGCCTTAAGGCAACAGTTCCCCCATGCCTAGAAAGAGTTGAGAGTGTGTCAGCTTCCCCTTAATGTCCTCCCTTTCAATAGTCTCCTAATTTAAGTCCCACATACCCTCATTACCTCATTGGAAAACCGTATTTTACAAAGAGAGAGCCTCAGAGTTTAAGTAGTTGAGTTCCACCCACTAGCTGCTGCCAGGATTATTATTATTGTTATTATTATTATTTTGAGACAGTGTCACTTGTTGCCCCAGGCTAGAGTGCAGTGGCATTAACCAACCTCAAACTCCTGGGTTCAAGCCATCCACCTGCCCTTGAATAGCTGGGACTACACGTGCGTCCTACCACACCTGACTAATTTTTCTACTTCTAGTAGTGGTAGGGTCTCATTCTTTTTCAGGCTGGTCTTGAACACCTGAACTCAGGGATCTTCCCGTCTTGGTCTCCCAGGGTGCTAGATTTACAGATATGAGCCATCACATCCTGCCTGGTGCCGGGAAATTAATTACAAAAGCCCAGATCACTGAGAAATAAAGCAGCAGAGAGGGCAACTCACCTGGACCCTGAATGTGTTCCTGCCTCTTTCCAAGTTACAGGGACTGGGTCAGGGATCACTCCGGGAAGACTGGGAGAATTACAGAGAGATGACTGTGAGCAAAACAGGAAGTCGGTGCATTGCCACACACGGTAAGGGGCCAGGCTTTAGAGGAAAGAAAAGTGAAAGCAATCGAGCTAGCCCAGCAGGAGGAGCTGGAGCAAGCGAGTCGACCAGGCAGGAAGCTGAGGGCAGGGCAGTGGCTCCTGCCTCCCTTGCCTCTCAGGCTCACAAGGCTCCTGGGCTCCTGCTCTGTGGGCAATTGGGGATTGAGGTGAGTGTTGCCAATCACCATCAGCCTAAAGAGGGGCATCAGGGAAGGAGGCAAAGCTTTCCGCCCCAAGGGCTACGGAAACTGGGAATTCACTTCAATTTCTCCATAACTTGTTCTTATTCATTGTTTTTTTGAGAGATGAAAACATTCTTAAACAGGATTGTGATGGTGATTACACAAATAAATTAATTCACTATAATAATCACCACACTTTAAAACACAAAAATGCAAGGAGGAGATGTAGAAATAAATGTCTAGCATTTGTCAGACAGAAAATAGGAATAAAAGGGAGCCCCCACATGAACTGAAATCATGCAGAGGTAGGCAGGCCTCCAGGCAGGGAAGGGGCTGAGGCAGAGCCAGGGCAGGCAGGCGGGCAGGGACACCTGTTTCTGCAGGCCCCTGTTAAAGATCTTTGATATATACTGTCAGAGTCTATGAGAAATCCTAAACTATAGAGATCTGTTTAACTATGATTAAAATGAAATCAACTTTTCAAATGTGGCTGACCCCTGTGCCCCCTACCAGGCCACCCACAAACCCCTGAGAGAAAAGATAGGAAACATGTTTGTTGTAAGGTTTAAGAAGTTCTGAAACCAAGGCTACCTGCACTGGTGTGAGCCCTTCTCTGCCTCCTATGGAAGTGGACACACCGCACATCCCTCCCAAGTCTGTACAGAGCGACAGATCTGGTTCCATAGGTCTCAACCATGGATAACAGAGGGAAGAAGAAAATGTGATGTTAGCGAGGCAGGAGGGCGCAGTGATGTCTCAGCACCTGTGACACAAGTGCTGTAAGATGCAGGGCATAATGCTGCTAAGAGAGATTATAAGGCTCTTTTAGGCAAATGTCACACTTCACAAGCTTGAAGTCCCATCCGTGCCACCTGGCAAATCCCTTCATGTGCATCCCAAGGGCCTGGCCTCAAGAGCTTCTTTCACGAAAATCCAAAAAAAAAAAAAAAAAAGAAAACAGGAAAATAAACTCAAAAATCATTACATGTAAAAAGATGTAAATAAGGATGAAAGATAGGTAACAATACATGCTTGAGAATACAGCAATAATGGGAAACCTTACCTGTTAATACACATGCATTAATGATTTGTGTAATGAGAGGGCTAAAAGTAAGTACAATTCTTTTTAGCTCAATTTTATGGAGGCATAAAATTCATTTATCTTAAGTGTAAATTTGGGTGAATTTTACCAAATGTAATCCTACTCCAATCAAGATATATTTCCATCTGTCACTCGGAAAGTTCCCTGTGTGCTTTTCAGATAATCTCCTTAACCCCAGCACCAGACAGCCACTGATCTGCTTTCTTTTATTAAAGATTAGTTTTACTTGTATTAAAAGTTTTATATAAGTGTAAATATATGGTATGCACTTTTTGGTGTATGGCTTTTTGCTCATTATAATGCTTTTGAGATTCAGCCCTGATGCTGCGGGTCAGTGATCCCATTAGCAGCTGCGCTGGCTACCTCTTGCTCATGCTGTCTGACAAGCTCGATGTCACCAATGTAATCCCTGAGATGAATCAAAGTGAAATAACAATTGTCTATGGCTAGCAAAAGTCTTAGAATAGCCACGATTAATGAGAGAAAGTTCATTATTTTGTGGCATACAACAATTTACCATAATAACCATAATGGTTCCTGGTAACGGATGCCAAGATGTAGCAATATTTTATAATATTGGAATATATTTTAATAACATGTTTACAAACATAATCTGAAGTAAAGTAAGCACCATTTCACATTTGACAAGGCTTCCTGTATAGTTTTAACATACCAAAAAGAGAAAATCAAATTTTATCATTGGATTAGTGTTTTAATGGTAAAGCTAATTTTAACAAAATTTTACAAACAAATCCATCTACTTTTAAACTATTTGATCATAAGTTAAGGTTTATATAGACCTTTTATATATATCCTTTGTCTTTAATTTTTACATCATTTACTTATTGGATTTAAAACAGTTTTTAAAAACCTATAAATTAGATAAAATTATCTTTTTAATAAAATTGTTAATTTTTCTGTCTAACTTTTTTACTAAAACAAATCTTATTTTTATAAACATATTTTGTTTATAAACGAGGATGCAGTATCCTAAATGACATATGTTTATAATTTCCCTTTATAATAATATATTTTCTCCAATTTTAATCAGGTGTGTCCAGATTAAGTAGAATGATTTTGAAGTATTTCTTCTTTTTCTATTGTCTATAAGGTTTGGCATGATCTGTTTTTTGAAATTATCTTTTAGTTTTATTTACAAATATTAGTTGTCTATGTTTTGAGACTTTGGGAAAAAATAGTAAGAAGAAGTTAACTGATTACTCCATACTGAACCTTAGAGTCAAAGCATTCGATAATAGACATACTCTTTTTTGACAAGGTGAATGTTACTTTCTTTGAATATTATTATTATTGCTTAATATTTCAATGCAGCAATCATCTGATTTCTTTTCTGAATGTATTTATCTTCATTCGTTCTTTATGAGGTTTTTGTTTCTAGTCTTTATCTTAAACATTGTTATTGTTATTAAATTTTAAGCCTTTTTAATTTCGTGAAGGCAAAAAGTGGAAACCTAATAAACACATGTATATGTAAAAAAAAAAAAGAATATAACTACAATACAAAAAAAAATCTTATTTTTAAATAGAATTGTTTCTTCTTCTTCTTCTTCTTCTTTTTTTTTTTTTCTAGACAGAGTTTCACTTTGTTGCCCTTGGTAGAGCTCACGGCAACCTGAGACTCTTAGGGTCAAGTGATTTTCTTGCCTCAGCCTCCCCAGTAGCTGGGACTACAGGCAGCCACCACAATGCCCAGCTATTTTTAGAGATGGGATCTCGCTCTCGTTCAGGTTGGTCTCAAACTCCATAGCTCAGGTAATCCACCTGCCTTGGCTTTGGCCTTGGCCTCCCAGAGGGCTGGGATTATAAGCCTGAGCCACCATGCCCAGCCTAGAATTATTTCTTTTTTATCTAGTAGTTTTAATTACATAAAATAATCATAATGCCAACTCTTAAAAGAACCTAGAAAGTTAAAGTAACTTTGAACTATTATCAGTCCCTAACTTTTATCAACACATCTAAATATATTTAGTTTTCTATAGCATGTAAAAATAAGATGTCAAGGTATATAAACTTATGTTTAACAATTAATGTTTAAGTAGTATTAATATATTGTAAATGACTCAGACATTTTATAATCATCCTCTTTAATGACTTTAAAATTTTAAATTGTTGAAAAGAATTGGTAACATCTCTAAGTCTTTGCTAGCCTCCTTGTCTCATGTAGACATGTGGCATCAAAGATGATTACAAAGGACATTATCTGTATCCTCAATTCATTTACCAGGTGCAGAGTTCTAGATAGAAAGCAGGATGTCTGAAGGGCCAATCTCTCCCAGAATAGTGAGGAGGCAAAGCTGGCACAGGAAAGAATGGGCCACATTGGGTTAGACTGTGCCTGGTAGCTGCTGAGCCAGCGAGGCTGTACTTTGCCTGCACTGAGATTGCAGGCATGAACCACCACCCCTAGCCCTTGATTGGATATCTTCAAACCCTTTTATAAAAGAAAATTTATATCTATAAGAAAGGATATTTCCATTTATAAGAGTGTCTGTGAGAGAGGGCTGAGTAGAACAAAAGAAATAATTCTATTTAAAAAATAAGATTTTTTTTTAGTAAAAATTCTGCCCAAGAGCAGATTTTCCTTCTTTCTGGAGCCCTCAAGTCTCGGGAAACTTGGTGGTGCTGGTTTTGGGTTATTTACTAGCTTTGAGACCAGAGCAGGGGTCCTCAAACTTTTTAAACAGAGGGCCAGTTCACTGTCCCTTAGACCAGGAGGGACGGACTGCGGGCCCCAGGACAAGTCGGCTGCTAAGCAGGACAGGCAGCAGCGACAAAAACACCCCACAGGCCAGATAAATGTCTTCCTCGGCAGGTCGCATGTGCCCTGTGGGCTGTAGTTTGAGGACGCCTGCACCAGAGCTTAGGCATGGAGTACTAGGTCAAGGCACTGAAAACATGTCCCCAGGCCTCACCATGGCCACCTATCTAGATCTCAGAAACCAAAAATATAAATGTTCAGTCAATTGCAGCAAAATTTAGAAATATTACAGAAGTTTTATGGCCTTAAAGCAACATTTAGAAATATTAGCATGCTGAGATGAAAGCACAGAACTTTAACTATTAGGTTATGATGCAAACTGGCCTCTCCCATTATGCCTACGGGCGTAGTGTTCAGAGGATTTTTACCCTTGTTTCAGATCAGATGCAGTTGTTCTTCAATTTAGTCAAGAGAATTTTTAAGGCTAGCCATGAAATTGTTACATGTTCTTTTAGTTCTGCCTTTTCATAAATACAAATAAAACAATTGTTTTGAAAGAATCCACTTTTTAATTTGAAATCCACTTTTTAAATTGAAAAGCCTTTAATTTAAAGGATCCATCTTTGGCCATTATTTTTTAATGAATTACTTATTTCATTTGTTTCTTTGTTTATTTACTTATTTAGACAGAGTCTCATTCTCTTGCCCCAGGCAAGAGTGCCCTGGTGCCACAGCTCACAGCAACATCAAACTCCTGGCTTGAGCCATCCTCTTACCTCAGCCTCCTAAGTAGCTGGGACTATGGTGCTACCATGATACCCACTTGGCTTGTTTTTCTATTTTTTTAGTAGAGACGGGGTTTCAGTCTTGCTCAGGTTGGTCCTGAGCTCCTGAACTCAGGCAATCCACCTGCCTTGGCCTCCCAGGGCACTAGCGTGACAGGCATGAGCCACCATGCCAGGCTGGAGTACTTGTTTTAAAGTGGATATCAAACCTTCCAAAATAAGTCAAGTCAAAAATTCAGGAGTGTTCCTCAAGACAGACATCCTGTTCTCCTTTCAACTGGGAAGAAGTCTCCCCAAGACCAGACTTTTTCTGTAATATATGGAAAGCCAACAAAAGCCAACCAAGACCCACAAAGAAGCTAGAATGCCTCCAGAAAGGCCAATCCAGAGAAGGGGGGGAGGGGTGCTGTGCATGCTTCAAACAGTCCACAGGATGCCTTCTAGTTCCAGAAACCATTTCTCAATTATAAACAGATCAGAGCACCAGGGGTCAACGATATCCCACAGGTAGATGATACTAGAGACAGCCCTCAGACCAAGGGAGCTGAGTGGCTGCTGAGGTGTGTCTGTAAGTCTGTCCCTCCAGTGACAGGCCATCAAACCACAGGCACATGCCCACAAGGATGATCCCAGATAAGCCCCCCAATTTTTGCTGCCCAACCAGTTCATTTGCACACTGCCAAGAGGAAGCCTATACACTGAGACAGCAGCATTACAGTGGAGAAAGGGTATAATTCCTCATAGTGATGAGGGGGGAGGTGAGAGGAATTTCTCAAATTTGCCTCCCAAGAATTTGGGAGACAGAGTTTTTGAGGATAGTTTGGCAGGCCAAGGACCTGGCAATTAGACCTGCTCATTGGCTGTGTTTGGGGCGGAACCATCAGTCCCTTGGTATGATTGGTGGAGTGGGTGAGTCAGCCAATCCACTAGAATGCAGGACCTGGAAATATCTCAGAAACTACCCCTAGATTTCAAAAACATGATATTATCTATGGAGAAAACTAAGAATCTTTATTATCACCAGCTATATGACTCCAGAATAGCAGACGGGGTAGCTAATTACTATCATTATTTCTAGCTGGGTCTGTGTCTTTTTTTTTTTTAATGTTCACATCAGGAATTTATATATATATTTTTAATTTCGGATAAATATGGGGGTACATACAATTAGGTTACATAATTTGCTTTTGTAAGGGTAAAGTCTTCATTGTAGTCGTGTCCTTCACCCAGGTAGTGTGCAATATACCTGTGCAATGTATCCATTGGGTGGGAATTTACCCCACCTCTTTCTTCTCTCCCTCCTGCTTGAATTTAATTGAGCTCTTTTCTCATGTGAATAGGTAGTTGTTAATCTGCTCGTTCCAATTTAGTGCTGAATACATGTGATGCTTTTTTTTCCATTCTTGCTATACTTTGCTTAGGAGAATGTTCTCCAAATCCATCAGGTTGTTATAAAAGAGAAAAAATCTCCATCTTTTTAAAGGCTGAATAGTAGTATTTCATGGCATACATATACCACATTTTATTAATCCATTTATGCGTTGAAGGACACTGTGTAGTTTCCACATCTTTGCAATTGTGAATTGGGCTGCTGTGAATTGGGCTGCTATAAATGTTCAAGTGCAAATGTTCTTGTGGTAAAATGTCTTCTGTTCTTTGGGTAGATACCTAGCAATGGGATTGCAGGATTGAATGGTAGGTCTACTTTTAGTTCTTTGAGAAATGTCCATACTTCTTTCCAGAGAGGTTGTACTAGTCTGCAGTCCTAACTTTCTCTTCATACCCACACCAGTCTTTGTTGCTTTGGAGTACTTCTGGCCAAGCAGGGCTAGTGATGAATTTCCTGAAAGTTTGCAAGACAGGAAAAGATATGATTTCTCCATCTTATACAAAACTTAGTTTTGCAGGATCCAGAATTATAGGCAGGTGGTTATTTTGTTTGATAAGATTGAAGGTAGGCAACCACTCTCTTCTGACTTGTACATTAATAAGAAATCTGTTGTTAACCTGATGGATTTACCCTTATACTTCAGAAGCTGCTTACACCTATCAGTTTACAGAATTTTCTCTTTCATTTTTGACTTTGGCCAGGTAAATTATAATGTGTCTAGGAGATATTCCATTTCAATTTATTCATCCTGGAGTTTGATTGGAGTATAGCAACTTTATGTTTGAGTCTCTGGCAATGCTTGGGAAATTTTCAATGGTAATATCTATAACTAGAGCTTGCATGCTTTTGGGACTCTCTTTTTCTCTTTTAGGGATACTATGATTTGTATAGTCAAACTGGCTTTCAAACTCTAAGAGTTTGAAATGCTTTTGCTTTCCTTTTTATTACCTCTTTAAGAGACTGGGTTAACTTGGAGTCTTAATTCTGAGCTTCTTTCATCTCCATGGTTTAATCTGTTGCTGAAACTCTCTGCTGTGTTTGAAACTCTCTAATGCCTCTTTCAATTCTTTATGTTATATCCTTCTTCACTTTTTTATAGATTCTTGGTGACTTTGTCTTTATTCTGCTAATTTCTGGAGACAATTTTTGGACTTCTTTTTGCTGGTTTTCCACTTTATCTTCAATTTCATTCATTTTATTTGCCATCCATATTCTGAATTCCATTTCTGTCACTTAAACAATTTACTTATGGTTGGAATGTTTTGCAGCAGCTTCATTATGATGCCTTGGGAGAGTTGATCTGTTCTGGTTTTTCATGTTGCCAGACTTTGTTGTTGTTGTTTGTTTTGCTGATTTCTCCTCATGTGTGGTTTCTCCCCTCACTCCCTTCCTCCCCTCTACCTTTTCTTTTCTTAACCCTAGGCTATAGAGTTAAGTTGATCTTCAGGTATAGTAGAAAAAAAAAGAAGAAGAGGAAGAAGGAAGAAAAAAATTGAATGTTGCCTTGGAAAAGGTATAGAAAGAAAAGGAAAAAAATCACTATATTCATTAAAGTCCTCTCTGTTGCCTTGAAAAGAAAGAGAAAGAAAAGAAGGACCAGTAGGTGGGGCTCTAGGATTAGAAATAACAGCAGCTGTTGCCAGCAAGGACGGGCCGAGCTTGGGTCTTTCTGGCTTTCAACAGCCTGACATCTTGAGGTTTGGGAGGAGATTTCCTGCTCTGCTCTGAAAGTGGAATTTCTGGAACCACAGAGGGCCAGGCGCAGCACTAAACATTTGGGGGGGGGGTAGTGCTACAGGCTTGAGGGGGGGGACATTAGATGTTCTGGGATAGCATACTGAATCCCAGTTCTGGATAGGGGCCCTCAAAGTGTTTTCTGGGGCGGGGGCCAAGGCTTAGTGATCTGAATGGGACCTGGAGTCTGAAAGGAGGTCACAGGGGACACTCCAAGCTGTTTGACAAAGCTGAGGATCAGCTTGGCACCTGCTGCCCAAGATTGGGTGAGTCTCTTGTGTACAGGGCAGACCATAGTGAAGGGCTTTGGAGTCTCTGGGAAGCTATGACAAGTGGGGGTGACACATGTGACAGCAATAACTGGGCTACAGAGATTCCCCTACCCCTCCTGTGACCCACCTCAGTGGGGCAGTGGTCTGCTGTTTCCCTGCAGCAAGGTCACCCACTGGGCGTCTCCACCCTACCGCCCTGTTCCCACACCCAGATCCTTCCGTGTCCCTTGAGGAAAGCACCTGGCAACTGATCACCGTCTCTGACTTAGAGAAGCTGCAGGTCAGTCCACTCACTCTCCAGCCTGCTCCAACAAGACTGGGCGCAGTGTACCCAACAGCTGGGGGAGCCCCTGCAATTGTTTGTGCCCGTCCTTGCCCACTGTCAGGTGGGGCTGATTTGTACAGGATTCAGCTTGGTCCTAGCAAGTGCCATGGGGATGGTACTGGCTTCTCAGCAGCCAGGTTTGCGCAGTGGTCCCGACATGAAGCCCCTACCTCTGGGCCACTTGCCTTCCCTTCTTCCCCTTGTTGTTCCCTCTGTGCCTTATTTTTAGCTAAGCCCTTACCACAGTTCTCTCTTTGTGCCCCTTTATTAATCTGTAAGGGTGGATTCAGCTGCAGTTGTAAAGTGCCCTCGTATTCAAGAAAATTTAGAATTGTGCCTCAGGCTTCTCTGCCCAATTCTCTAAGATTATGTTAGGGTTAGGGTTGGAAGACTTGGGAGGGTTTTCTCTTACCTTTGGCTGCTTTCCAGAAATGCTAAGAAAATCCTCCCACTGTGCAACGGGAAGCCTTCCAGCTCTCTCCAGCTTTGTGTGTCAACACCAGGCCACCCCCATCCAGTCCAGGCTCACCAAGGTGCCCAGCCAGACCTGGGGCCTGAGAGAAGATTTACAGTGCCCAGCATTGTCCTTCCACAGCCACCTCAGCCAGGGGAAGGGACAGAAGTGGAATGCACTTCCTCCCCATATAAATAATGCCTCCTCACCTGGAAACAGCTCCGATTCCTTTTAGTTGAAGGGACTTTTGCAAAAGTGGTTCCTGGTGTTCTGTGGACTCAGGGGCTGGCCTGGCTCCTCCTCCGAGCTGGGCTGAGAGACGTCATAAGATTGGGTGGAGGAGGACTAGTCTGCTGTGTACCCACTTTCAGTTTTCTTTCCCTTTTTACTATATTGAGGGAAAGACCAGTTAGCAGACTTCATCTTTCGAGCTGTGGAAGGCACAGAAGCTGTGAAAATTGAATTGGGTGTGACCAGGGACAAGCTCAGGGCCTGGAAGGGCCAGCAGGGGCATGGCAAGTGGAAGCAGCGATCTCTGTTCCAGGTAGGTCATTGTCTCTGCTTCTGTCCATCGCTGGTAAGGCCCTTGTTTCTGTGTGTTGCTTGTGTCTTCCCAGCATCACTCCACAAGTGTACTGTATAAGGAGATTATAAATAAATACACAGTGAGAAAATCAGATTTTTTTAAGTTGCAAGAGAAGTGAGTCAGCTTTTGGGGAAAATGAAAGCCACCCTTACTTGCATCATTCTCCTTAGTTTTTTGCAACTGCTACATAGTAGGGCTGGTGCCGCTTGAACTTCATGGCCTAAAGCAGTGGTTCTCAGCCTTCCTAATGTCACAATGTATTTTCATTGTTAAAAAGGGGTCGCGACCCACAGGTTGAGAACCGCTGGCCTAAGACGTCTCTCCAGGGTGGGATAATTAGTCACAACCTCTGAACCCTTTCTTCTCTGTCAGGCCTCCTTTATCCTCACCCGAAAAGATGGCTCTGTCCAAAGATCTTATTAGAAAAATTAAAATCTAAATCAAATTTCTATTGTCACATTTTTTCCAGTCCAGTCTGAGCTCATCTTTGTGGCCCTAAGCCGTGCAGCCAATTCAGCATGTCTGAATACTCCACAGGAGGAACTGAAAGTAGATGAGACCTAACCACCAATGCCAGCAGAGGGGGAGTGTTGGCTTTTTGATTTTTTCCTATTTTGAGGTGTGTTACATCTCTGGTTATAGAAAAGTGGAAATCACCTTTTAAAATTTGAAAAAAAACTATATCAATTCAGTTGGCTCTCCAAAGTTCAAAAATATTTAAAGGTAAATAAACAAATAGTAATACCACAGTGAAAAATAATACAAATTTTTAAAATATGGTGTAACAACGAATTATATAGCATTTACATTGCATTATGTATTATTAGCAATCTAGAGATAATTTAAAGTATATGGGAAGATGTACACAGATTACATGCAAATGCTATGCCGTCTGAGCATTCTTGGATTTGGGTATCAATGGAGGGTCCTTCAACCAATCCTCCCAGGGTACTGAAGGATGACTATATATTCTTCTTGATAAAAATCAAAAGCATGTATGTGTCTGGGGACTTGTCTAATTAGCCAAGGTTAATTTTGGTGCTGATGCAGCCCCAAGAAAGTATTGGTTTTTGCTACCAGCACAGCAGTGGTGGTACCAGGCTGGTCTTTAGTATCCAGCATCATCCGTCCTGACTACATATCCTAGCCATTTCTTTTTCTCCATATGCTTTGTGGGGAAGGGAAGAAAAGCTAGTAGAACTCAAAGTCCAGCCATCCCATGGCCTCCAAGTAGGTATAAAATGGCACTGAGATGTGGGGGTAGGGTAATGCTGACCTTAGGGAGTAAGTTAAGAAGTGTTGCCTCTGCTTCTATTTTCTGGCAAAGATTAGGGAATGGTATCATTTCTTCCTTAAATATTTGGTAGAGTTTACTAGTGATACCATCTGGGCCTGGTGCTTCCTTTTTTGGAGGGCTATTAATCATTGATTTGATTATTTTAATAGCTATCGGCCTATTGAGATGCTGTAGCTCTCCTTGTGTGAGTTTCAGTAGTATGTGTCTTGAAAGAATTTGTCCATGTTATTTGTTATCAAAATTGTAGGCATAGTTATCCATAGCATTCCTTAATTATATTTTTGATGTTCATGGTGATTACTCTTCTTTCATTCTGATATTAATAATTTTTGTTTTCTCTTTCTCTTTTTTCCTTATTAGCCTCGCTAGAAGTTTATAGATTTTATGGATCTTTTTAAACAATCAGCTTTTAGTTTCATTGAATTTCTCTAATGTTTTCTTATTTCAGTTTTATTAATTTCTACTTTCTTTTTCCTTTTTTTTTTTTAATTAAATCATAGCATTAATACTATCATGGGGTACAGTATACTGTTTCTATATGCAATTTGAAATACTTTCATCCAACTAGGTAACATAGCCTTCATGTCTTTTTCTTAGGTATTGTATTAAGACATTTATATTCTAGATTTAGAGAGATTCACATGTACCCTTATAGGATGAACCATAGGTATGATCCCACCAATCACCCTCCCTCCACCCACCCTCTCCCCTCCCCTTCCCTCTCTCTCCCCTTGCCCCATATTCCTGGGCTAAAATTGGGTTGTAGCTTTCCTATGAAAGCTATAAATTAGTTTCATAGTAGGGCTGAGTACATTGGATACTTTTTCTTCCATTCTTGAGATACTTTGCTAAGAAGAATAT